ATATTATACAAAAACCTGGAAAGCTTTGTAGATGTAAAGAAGAAAAAAACTATTCTAAAAAAATAAGTCGTTCCAGCTTTGAGAGCGCGATAAAACTCCGAATTACTCTTTGTTTTACCATTCCGATTCAGCGAGCCGGTCGTAACCTAAACCCAGCCATCATATTACTCCCGCAGCCAAAACCCTACAAAAAAGAGCAAAACTTTCCATGTTTCTGTGGGTTAGTAACATTTTCTGCTACTAACTATAGATAACGGAATAATACATAATATCAAAACAAAAAAACAAGACTGCGTAGTGAAAAAAAAAGATTATCATCATTATATATATAGAGATTGCATGTGAAAATTGTTTGAATCGTGATGTTTGATCAATCAGATCGAAGGATCAGGTGTAACGTGAAAAATCACGATTTTTGGGGTTTTTTTTTAAAAAAAAATAAAAAATAAAAAATAAAACGCTAATAACTCGAAATTTTGCCTATGGAATTTCCTTCTGCGTTCTAACAAAAAAAAAAACTCCTTGCAAATTTTGGTATATTGTATGTTCTTTAGCTTCAATACTAACCCTAAAGACGTTGTTTAATTCGATCATGCAAATTAATTAGTCAATCAATATCGTAAATTTTTATCATGTGAAAAATATCACATGTTGATTAACCAATAAAATCGTAAATTTTTATAAAGTTGAAAAGAACGATATATCATTAAAATTTAAAGTTCAAAATAACTGCTACCAAATATTATTGTTAAGTAAGCAAGCATGTATATATTTTTATTTTATTTACAAAACCTCAATAATCTATATGCTTAATTCTCCATCTAATTTTACGTCTAAATATACGTCCAAATCTATGTCTAATTCTATATTTACTCAAATTTCTAATATCTTACACTATACTATATACATATTGTATATTAAATGAATATTATTCTAATAAGAAACCTTTGCAATTAATACACATTGTGAGCCCGGTCACGGGTGCCCGAATCGAAGTGACGATCCTTACCCAATTCAAGGTCACGCGAAAAGTAACGGAAATGCTACTTATGGTACTTATATCACTTCTGCTACTTCGGCCACATATTCGTTAAATGACATATCGGCTTTAGTTAAGATATTGAGCATAAGGAATATATTGCATTTATGACATAAATTGATTACAAATGTAAATAAGACGTTTATTATAAATAAAGGGCATCTCTGCCTAGGGAAGGAGAGAGTCGTCCCTTATACCAATAAATCCTCCATAATCAAATATAAGACTAATCGTTCGTCCATCTGAAACCCACTAAACCGCATTTTGCTCGTTCGCCGTAAGTCACATGACAAGACCGTAACGTAATTGAAGAGTTCCAACCCCGATTCGACGTAGAGTAATCCCGTGTTGAGGTAGACAAAGAGGAGACTAGATTAGACACCAAGGAGAGGTTGAAGGAAAGATACAAAGAGAAGAGACAAGTATTTACCTACGGATAAACCACCAGCCAAATCTAACACGCTTATTTCGACTTAGCCGCCGTAGGTTGGATTAGTTTAGCGGCAGACTCGCCGAAATTCGGAACGACAACATCATGCATTTATACAGTATAAATTTCATATCATATCTTAAACGCTCCTATAGTGATGATATTAATAAATCGTATAGTTAATTGACATTATTCATATATTTCAATTTTCAAAAGAATTTCTAAGCAAATTTCTAAGCAAATACATATAATAAAAAATATATATAAACTAATTTCTTTCTTCTACATTACCATAATTAAACATTATTTTACCTTTTTTTTTTGCACAACAAATGAGATTTTGTCAATGTAGTAGTGTTTAGTTACTTATAACGTCAACTGGCAAAGTGCAATATGAAAGTTGTTGGATTAAGATGGATTAAACGAAAGGTGAGAACTCACATTTTACGGATGAGACAATCTACCCGAGCTTCCGAAAAAAGTATTGTAAAACGTATAAAAAAAATCCTTAATCAATTGTGTAACTATCTACAAAATCGGGGCATTCGGGACGTTCTTACCTCGAAGTTGCTTCTCTCTTTGGTAGACCATATACTTCATGATTTCATCACTCCGTTCCTGGTATACCCTAACGCTGTACGGTAGTTTCGGTAGAGTTGCGTTATATTAAAAGTTACACTATTGACTAAGTTCACTCAGAAGGTACGATACTAATTAAAGTTACGTAACATATTAATGTGCATAACCGGTTTTTGCTGTAACCGCAACCGTAACCAGTTGTATCCCAGCATCACTAATACTGATTTTACTCTTATTTTACAGACAGTTAATTCACCGACATGTTTTATTCAGAGTCAGTGGATTTTTGTTGAGATGCAAATTAATAATCAATTGATTTATAGAAAGGATTTTTTGATACGTATTACATTTGATCTAATTTACATATATAATAATATCACACCAGATAAGTTTTTTTTATTAAAGATGTCAACGCTTTTAAATAAATATCTTCAGTACAAAAATGTATCATAAAAAACAATCTAGATTACATATTAAAAATTAAAAAACGCTAAAGCCAAAACCGAAATTTAACTATATTCCAAACGCAAGTAACTGATAAACAAGACATTAATGTTGATTTATTAAAGCTTTTAGTAGATGAAATATATTTTACCTAGAGTTCCAATCCATTATCCGTTTATCCATTTATCCATTTATCTATCGGATATCCAGATCTGAATTTATTCGGATATCCGTTTTACTATTGATATCCGGATATCCGGATATCCGGACAAACTCAGATATGGATATTCGGATTGGAACTCTAATTCTAATGAACATAACTTTAGCGAAGATGATGTAAATGGTTTTAAAATTTTAGTTCGCTAATTATGCTAATTTTGCTGGCTATTTTCGCTAGCTATGTTTGCTACTAATTTCCACTGGCTCTGGTTTTATTTTACAGACGATCAATTTACAGACAAGTTCATTTCATAGACAGTTTATTTCACCGACAGCTCATTTCATCGACAAATTAATCATAGTCATTACTGTTATTGTTAAGGTTAGGGCCTGAATTGGATCTCTGCAGTATGAGACCTATTCTAAATCAACTGATTAATAATACATTTTATTAGTGGTGTCACTTATACTGCAAGAGATCCTCTGAATTATATTTAAGGTTAGTGCAAGTTATAAAACAAACTTGTATGTGGAATGAAACAAACTGTCTATGAAATGAACTGTCGGTGAAATGAACCTGTCTGTAAATGAAATAAAGCGTCTATGAAGTGACTGTCGGTGAAGTAATGTCCGTTCATATCATTATAATGTATCTGTTGATTTTGATAATCTCCCTAGTGACGTGACGCACTTCATTAGATATATAAAATTATATATAATTGACGAAGCTAACCTTGGGTGATTGGATTTCCTTATCCAAATCAGCCGATATGAATAACATTCAATGAATATTATTCTCCAGAAATATATTATTCTTCAAAAAAATATATGTTTTATTATTGTCAATAGAAGATTTAATTTGATTAAAATTAATATGATGTTCTCCGTTGTGAAGTCTTAGAATTAGATTCAGATACTTCGAAGGAACATACAAGTTATTTGTTGAATCAAATGTCCTTCAACCAACTAAATAAACAGAGAATTACCAATTGACTTGGTAGAAACTCTATTCTACAGTGACATAGTTGTATTTGATAAATCAAGATATCATACTTCAATAGTAACAATTAAAAGACTGAGTCCATCCACTAAAGAAATAAAGTTTAGTACCAACTAACGAACTAGTATCGAAGTTTGACAGTTCATAATAAATATAATTAGGCATAAAATGAAAATATTTGTTTATTTAAAGAAATCCGGGATGAAGCTTAGTATAAGGGTCATTATAGTAAAATTATTAAAATTTAAAAATCTTATTATGGTCCCAAGTGTCATTTAGAAAATTGCTTCCCTAAAAATAACATGCGTATGGGTTGTTGTATAGCAAATCCATGCTTAGAGTATATATATTTATATGTTCTAAGCATGATTTTGCTGTGCAACAACCCATATGTAATTTCAAAATAACGCGCATCTTATATTAAATAGTCTTATATAGTAAATGCATCGGATTTGGTTGGTATCAAGTAAACCTACTTTCGGACTTTAACAAAGATTATTCTTCAGATAGAGGAGATTTAAAATCTTGCAACGCTTGCTTATGATCATATAAACAAAATTATCAAAAATTACAAAACTTTGATCTGAAGAACAACCTCAAAAGTAGGTTTGTTTGATACCAAACCTAGTTTCGGTGCACTTTTTTTTTTGCTTACTTTTTATGCGAGATGCTTAAAAATTTTCGATTTGTTTCAAATAAATAATGCGCATATACTCAAAATAACGCGCAGATGAACGTTATGCGAAAGTACGGTATGTTTTGTTTGTATTAACTTCTGATGCTATGAATGGAAAATCGATAGCTAAGAAAAACGTGATCTCATGTGACAATGATAGCAACTACAATCTTTTTGACGATTCTTGCAATAATTATTTCATTCTGATTTATAACTAATATTACCACTTGTCTTTTCTATACTAGTTCACATGCTAACGTAAATCGTTTTAATAAATATATAAAAACGTTTAAATTTTCATATTAAATTCTCGTGACAATCTTCAATAGTTGTGTTTTGTGGTGTTTCATCCAATTGCGTTTTTATTAACTACATCCTTAATTGTCAGATATATACAAATTTCATTATTTTATATAAACCTTTTATTTAAAGAAATTTTCTTATGTAAGGGTATAAAGAAAAAATTGAACTTTTTGTTTTTTTTGAAAAATAATGGCGACAAATCCTGTTCGTACGAATCAAGAACCACCACAACCAACACGTCCACCACCACCACCACAACCACAACCAACACAACCACCACCACAACCAACGCAACCACCACCACAACCAACACAACCACCACCACCACCACAACCAACACAACCACCACAACCAACACAACCACCACCAACTAAACCACAACCACCACCACCACAAATAACTACACAGTTATTAAATTCAGTGACAGGAGCACAGCAAATTACTACACTCCCTGAAATAGTAGCGACATCATCATATAGTCAAATAAATCCTGTGAAATCCCCAGGAACTACCTCTGCAAATACTTATCATGGGGTTCCATCAAATGGCGACTTCCAAAATAATTCATCGGATTCATTATCACCTGGATTGATTGTTGGATTAGGAATAGCAGGAATTTTAGTTGTCGGTTTGATAGCATTTTTCGTAAGAAAACGATTAAAAGTATTAAAATATAATAAACGTAAAAGCTTCTTGAATGATGATTTTAATGAAATGTTTAATGTTGCGTCAACAGAGCAACATACAGCAAATTCTAATGCCAATGGCGGTAATACAAGGAATTTAAATAGTTCGGTATCTAATTCGAGGACGAATAATGATAGTAGAAGAGTCCATAACGTTGATCTTAATACCAACAGATCAAATAGTAGACCATTAAATAACATGATGTCTAGTCCTACTAACAGGCCGTTAACGAATAATAATAGAGGTGATGAAAGAGCTCAAACGACGGCGAGGATGAATAATAATAGGAGTGGCGGAGGTGTTTATAATTTTAATAATAGCGGGTCAAATAGACCTTGGCCGCCGAATAATCATAGACCAAATGATATATCTATAATAAACAATCGAGTTAATGTCTCCTCACCTCTAGCCTCACCTCCTCTAACTTCAATGAGTAATGCTTATAGTAGCAAAGTATCAGAAGTGACAACACCTTATCATCCAGCTATCTCTGGTGAGCAACCATCTTTCGGCAGACCACCACCTTTGGGAACTCCATATGTACATGGTGTATCATTGTCACCACCGCCTTATTTATCGCCAGAAAATAATAATAACCTGGGAGGATATGGTGCTGAAATTAGAAGTAATAATATCAATATAATACCTTCATCTTCACATCAACAATATCAGCAGTATACTTTTCCTCCACGCAATTATTATAATGATAACGATCTAACATCAAAATCTAATAATGAACAGTTAGTAACAAGTGAATATTCAAAAAAGAGTCCTGGATTTTTTTTTTTATCGAATAATAATACTAATAATAACAACAATAATAATTTTTTAGGTAATGAAAGTAAAGGAATTTCAAAGGTAAATAACAATATTACTTCAAACCGTATTGAAGGTATACCACTAAGGGAAAATACCTTAGGTGGAAAATCTTTCGGAAGTTTTGATTATGGTGATTATGGTAAGGGTTGAGCTCGAAAAGAAACCAATACATTATGACTATTAAACTAAGAAATAATATAAAAATCATTGTAGAAATTCTTTAATTTAGTACCAATTTTCTTCATGATTTTGATTTATCAATGTTTTTTTATGCTAGTTTATGCCGAATAAGTGCATTAATAATAACATGAATTTTATTTTCACTGGTTTAAAAGTCTTTCGATAAGCTACGTATGGCTGTAGTCATGTGACCAAATTAAAGGTGGTAGTAATAGCTTGGGTGACTTTGATCCGAGTTAAAATAGAACTACATATTCTAACAATAAACTATTAATTTTTTAAAAAAAATTTAATTTCTAATAGATATTTATTTATTTAGCTCTTAAATACAAATATAAACTTGTGGTGTTATATTTAGGAAATACTAAACATAATTCGATGATTTATTATAAACAATTTTAATTATCAAAATATATAGAAATAAGTTTTTTTTCTTTATTATAGACAATGATAATTATATTATTAAATATGTATATAATTTATAAAATAGAAAGATATTTAAATTTATATTTAGTTATATAATTTTAATATTTTATCATTTTGTATATTATATATTTATTTATAATTTGTTAAATTAAATTTGAACTTAAAATTAGTTTAGTATCAAAATAAAATAATATTAACAATACTGTACAGTATTTGTGCATATAATGCATATATATGTGTTATTTTGAAATTTTTATTTTTT